AGACCTTCAGCCAAATGATTTATCTCTGTAGCTCTGCTTTCAACCTGAGAGGCTAATATTTGTCTGCACGTCTGATACTCAATCACTCTGGGTTGAATCACATTAACCCTCCTAAGTACTTTGTCATTTGAAGTACATCTGACAAAGCTGATGGGCAAAAGATATGAAATAAGAATCATTGGCATTGGGATGGTTCTTAAATCAGTAGGGAATTCTTTGCACAAACAAAGAGAGGTTAAAAAATTAGTAGATACTGAAAATTATGCTTTAGCACCTAGGTATTTGAGCCATTGTACTTATCATTAGAAGTCAAATCAGAGACCACCCACATGTAGCAAATGAACTGACATCAAATGAGCTCCTGAGGGGGTGAGGGGGAGTAATAATTGGAATTTGGCCAAGTGTCTTACAAAGTATTTCTCCACCTGTGGGCTCGACCCGTTTGTTGTAGAGTCACTCTTCTACAGTGGTCGCATATCAGATGTCCTGAATATCATGTGTTTAAATTAAGATTCATAACAGTAGAAAAAATACATGTATGAATTATTAAAATTCTGACATTTAGAACTTTGTAAGTACAGTTTACTATTTTATTTTAGAGCCTTGAAAATTGTTTTAAACATCTGTGACTCAGATTGGAAGATAGCAGTTAAACATTACTTAATTGAACCCCAACCATGTGTATTTAAAATATTTTTTTCACTTCCAATGGTGGCACATGTCTTTAATTACAGTACTCTAGAGGCAGAGGCAGGCAGATCTCTGTGAGTTCAAACCCAGCTTAGTCTACAAAGCTAGTTCCAGGAAGTTTCAAAAAATAACACACACACACACACACAGAGAGAGAGAGAGAGAGAGAGAGAGAGAGAGAGAGAGAGAGAGAGAGAGAGAGAGAGAGAGAGAGAAAGAGATAGAGAGAGAGAAACTCTTTAACCCCTTTAATTCATCTACAAGTTGTATAGAAGTAACATAAGATACGTGACCAACAGATACAAGTTTAGTATGAATGTAATCTCTCTTAAATAGCTAAAATGTAAATGTCGGCACTTTTTTGTTCACACACCTTCAATATTGAAATTTGAAAGCTGAGGATGCAATGTTTATGAGCTAGTCAGGCTGTTAGGCTGTTAGAGAAGGTAAACAGAATACAGTTAAGTTTTATGTTCCCCATGGCCCTCAGTTTATGGTATGGCAAAATAACTTCAGAAATGCCAAGCAACTTGACAAAATTAAACAGGAAGATCAACACAGATCCCAGAAAACAACACTATTATTTCTACTAAAATGAAGTATCCAAGTGGGAAAAATAACTGAATATTCCCTGGCACCACCAAATCTTAGAGTTTCACTTTGACAGATGCTGCCTAGAAATGACTAGTTTTGATACTTCAAATATAGGAAGCAAGAATTAACTTTAGAGTCTTCTGAGTCTGAGCTGGAGGTTCCTATGAAGTTGATGTTTCAGATATAGTCCATATGCTGTGATTCTGGGATTGCTCCAGTCAACTGGGAACTTTCCTCAAATGCATAAATATCTGAGGAGTTTAAATATGGATATAGAAGACATTCAAATAAATGCCTAGTTTAAAAACCTCTTAAAATATGGGAAAATGTATCATCATAAATTATTTGTATAACTAATTGTGCTTTTAAAATATTCTGAAAACTGGGTGGTATTTTACCAAGAAGATGTAAATTATGAAATGAGTTCCAAGTTTAAGTACATCAATAAAATTGCAATAAACTTGCCTTGCTGTCATATGGGCCAAATAATAATAACAGCAAAGTGTCTCACCAGATCCAACTTTTGCATACTTCATTGAAGTCTGTGTTTGGTAGATATTAAAAACTAGTTACATATATTTAATATATATATTAATAAACTTGAAATCAATTTCAAAACAAAAGATAAACCTTAAAAAATCTGATATGAACTGTTGAGGTGGATAATGAAGAAAGAACAAGTTTTGTGTTCAACATGACCAGAATGATGTAAATGTTTTGGAATTAATTGTTTGTAAGAAATATAGTGAATCTGTCTTTCATACATTCAATTAAACCCCAACCAAAAGAAAGATTGTTTTGTAAATTATGACAATATCAAAGATTCTGAGACACGACTTCTTTTAGCCACATTTCTTCAGGACTTTTCTCCTCCCTTGTCATGAAGGCATCATAGATGAGGATACTCGGCTCTCAAGAGTCAGAGCTTCTACTGAAGCTAGGCCACCAACAAGCTCCACCTGAGAAGGAAAATGATGCTTAAACTCTTAGGTTAATTTAAGATGCACTGAAAATAGAAAATAATCTCTCCTAAAAAAATAAGAATGGGAGAAGGCCAGGATAGAGGAAAACTTTGAGAGAATGGTTAAATTAAGGAAAATTCCAGAAAGGATATTGATACATTATCAAAATCAAGGGATTAAAATAGCTCTTGTCAGTTGGACTTTTGATTTTCTTAATAAAGTTAAATCTCAGGACAAGAACAAAAGCATTTATAGAGTGAGCATGTGAGGCTGGGAGTATGAGTCAACCAGTTCATATAAAAACAATGGTCCTGGAATTCATCTGGCTCCTTTTTTTAGCTCCTTGAGAACTACCATGCATCATCTGAAGCAGCATCTCTCACACAGGGGTGATGCTGTTCCCCAGTGGACATTTGCTACTTCCTGGAGCTACTTCGGTGTTTCTTGTTTGGGGATCACTAATATCATTTACACACATAAGGACTAAAGGCATCTCAGAATGCAGAGTCCCCGACACTGGACTAATCTGGTCTAAAATGGCAAGAGCAGTATTTTAGAGA